GTGTGTGTGTGTGTGTGTGTGTGTGTGTGTGTGTGTGTGTGTGATTGGTCGATAAGACACTATACAATATGCACCACAGGAGGAAGCGTGAACCACAGATGCACAAACACTCGCACGCACACTCAGACTCACTTCTGTTCTCTCCTGGTCGGGGATGGATGAACCGGGACGTTTGTTTTTGTTTTTATACCCAAATCTGATTCAAAACAAACCAAATCTATCCACTCTGGGTCCATTTAAAGAGAGAAATCTGCATATCAAACTGAGATTGTTGGTCTTTGACTGACTGGTTTTCTTTGAGAATCCGCTGAAGAAGCAGCCCGTGAATCCTTTCAAAATAAAAGTCACACAAAACTTTTCAATAAGACAAGACAGAAAAAAATAAGTTTATTTTAGCCACACAGCCTCCATCACTGGGTTTATAACTCACTTAATTGTTAATTCCCCCACAGGGCTTCAGATGGAGCCATTTCCAGACTGAAATTAGTTCTGAATCTAAAAAGACAGAATTTTAAAAGCTGGACAATGTAGATTTATTTTTCTGGAACAAAATATTTGATGAAAATAGTTCAAATCACAACCAATCTGCCACAAAAAGTTCTTTAATGTCTCATTTAAACACAGAATTAAAGACCAACCTTTATATTTAACTGGAAGGAGATTGATATATGCTGCTTTTCACCCCCTTTATGTGTGTGTGTGTGTGTGTGTGTGTGTGTGTGTGTGTGTGTGTGTGTGTTTGTCAAATAAAGATGAAACAAACTGTGAGAGCTAATGACTGTTACTGTAGAGCAACAATAAACTGGACGAGTGACTTCCTGAAGCCGTGGTTTTTCCTCAATCAGCCCTAATTAGGGCCTAAAAAGCTCCATCCCACTAATAAAGAAACCTCTATCCAGAGACCATCACATCCCCATTAGCCTGAGAGCAGAAACCCATCACAATAAACCGGTGGCTGAGTTTATATTGACGAGCTGATCAGGATGACTCATATCTGTGCGGCTAATCTAGCATTTGATCTCAGAAATCAAGCTAGCAAGTTACAGTAAACACCAGTAAACACCAGTAAACACCAGTAAACACCAGTAAACACCAGTAAACACCAGAATATCTGCTCAGCCTGGTGGCACAACACTAAAGCCGTCTAACCGGTTTGTGTAACGCGATCTTTGGGTTTAAGTGGGACTGTGAGGCTCTCAGGGTCTGATTCCTGCTGTTTAATGGGTGTTAGAATATCAGGATTTAATTAAAAATGGAGCATAAATCGATTTAGAAGTGTTTCCAGCTTGTTGTGGAGCCATTATAAACAAAAATAAGCTAATTATATCAGCTTTTCCTTGGTTGGAATTGAACAAACAAGTGTCTAATGACAGCCCCTCTTATGTTTGAGCACTAAATGTGTGTTTAGTCCGGTCAGGGTTGTAAAAAATAAGTAAATAAAGAGGATGAAGGCCCATCCCAGAATCATCCCTTCAGCAAACACAAACAGCTCTGATTAT